CGAAATAATTCATGCAGTCATATGGTCTATTAGCTCATTACGCCTCTTTACACACACACACACACAAACACACACACACACACACACACACACACACACACACACACACACACACACACACACACNATCCTGAGGCCTTAGTTTTGGTTTCAAATGACACAACATCATGTATGTGTTGCTTCTTTGGGGCTTGTTTTCATAGACCTGGTTGCTTATTTCTATCAATTTGATAGAAATAAGCAACCAGGTCTATGAAAACAAGCCCCAAAGAAGCAACACATACATGATGTTGTGTCATTTGAAACCAAAACTAAGGCCTCAGGATCACTTTAAGACTTGAACATGGTCATTGTTGTTTTGTAACATTGAATACAACATTTTAAAAAAGTATTTATAAAAAAAAAAAAAAAAATCCCAATCCCCGATTTTTTGAAAATCACGTGATCGGCTCCGATCCCCGATCACGTGATCGCATCGGGACATCTCTAATAATAACTGGATCGTATCAAAACCAATATAGTTCAGTATCTTGATCTTTGAGGTATTTAAAGGGGACCTACTGTATCATGCGAAATGCACTTTTTGATGTCTTTTATAAATAAATATGTGTCCCTGGTGTGTCGGGGAACTCACACAGTGTCAGAAAATAAAACCCTCTCTTTTTTCCTCCGTACCTAAATCTCTAAAAACGGGGGTACAACGGAGCTGATCCAGATTTGTGTCCGATATGACGTAATATCGGAAATGTGGACCCACTGCACTATCAGAAAGTTTCAGAAATAACCCTTGATAATCCATGATATGGCGCTTCATCACAGCAGTATTTAGTTCAGACAGTAGCTGCAGGGTCCCACATGAGCTCAGCCCCCTCCTTTTTTATTTTGTATAATTATTTTTTAAAGCTTTATACCCAAAATCAGCACTTTTGAAACAGGAAGTGAAATAGAGGGATATGAGGCATGGCTAGAATGTGTGATCTGTTTGGTACTTTGAGCAAAACACTTCAGAGACATGTTTTTTATATATCTGAGACCTATGCTATTGCCGAAAAATAGCATGATAGGTGCACTTTAAGTAATACTGTAAGCCAAATATCTATAATTTTTCTCAGTTCATTTTGTAAACATGATATATCTAATATACCTATTACTTTATAGCATGATAAAGTATCCGTATTTTACACCTCTAATGCCCGCCGAGCAATATTTAATTTTGCCCCTCTCTGTCTACAGAGAGCCCTTTAGATATTCATAAAACAAACTTTAATGCCACTTTTGTAATGTTCTAAGGTTTTTTTGTAATACACATCACTGAATTGCTGTCACAAACTATAATCTATTTACCTCCCCATGGAAGCTGTCAAACTTGTTATTTTTCAGTTTATTTATTTCAGTAAATGCAACACTTAAAATAAAAACTAAGAGGGCGTTTATGTTTTTATGAAGTCGAGACTGTTTTACGACCGCAAATGCCTGCCTCCCCAAGTGTCTCGTTCACAAGGTGAAAGCTTCCCCTACAAACCACAGACACACAATAACATGTTAGATTGAGGCCGATTGTGTTTTTATGAAAAGGAAGGAAAATGCTGTTGTCACAGGAATACTATATTTATCTTGTCATGTAAATATAAACACCACTACGAATTCTTAACACAGTGGTTGTCTACTCCTAGTTAATTATCAAGTTAATTTGTGAAATCACACTAATCTAACAGCTTTGTTAACAAAATTACAAGAAATATATTTCTTGATTTGATTAATTCGTTTTTTTTTGTTATGCCACTACATTCTGCACTCAGTCTCATTTACTTAATTTGAGCTGATGAAAAGCATTTCTCATCCCTACAACTTCTTTCCACGCCACTCAGTGCTGAACCTGACCCTGATCGACCTCCCGGGAATGACTAAGGTTGCCGTTGGAGACCAGCCCGTAGACATCGAGCACCAGATCAGAGACATGCTCCTGCAGTTCATCACCAAGGAGAGCTGTCTGATCCTGGCCGTCACTCCTGCCAACACCGACCTGGCCAACTCGGACGCTCTGAAGATCGCCAAGGAGGTCGACCCACAGGGTGAGCGCATAGCTGTAGATTCATTAAAAGGTCAAAGAGCAGGCCCATGAACACAACTCTCATTCGAATACTTTTTTCTTAATGTCAACAAATATTGATTTACGGAGAATATTGTGTCAGTATAAATCATGCTGTGAATTTGAAAACCACTGACATTTTTTGGACATGACTTAGATCTGGAGTTATTGAACATGTTTGGATTACACAATGCTACAAAGCTACTGCTGGAATCTAATTCTATAAACAAATTGTTGATATTGTAGCCTTATCTTTATAATGCAGAAATATCAGGTTTAATCAGATTGAATAGACATGGAAATCAGCTGTGCAGCAATCCAAAGCTGATTTTGAATTTGAATACCACTGTTCTGAATTAAGCTTTGAACTTTTGCTTTTGTTTATTATACATGCTAGTGCTATTTGTCACGTTTCTCTAGTTACAAAATCTTTCTAGCTGTTTCTTAGACAAGCCTCTGCTAGAAGAAAGGTCAAAGACACTCAGATAATTATTCTGTGTATCAGTCATTTCCCTCTGCATTATTATAGAAGGGAACAATGTTATGATTTACGATTAATCAGTTTAAGTTGATGTAATAACACTTTATCATTTGCTGCAGGTCTGCGTACTATTGGTGTTATAACAAAGCTGGACCTGATGGATGAAGGGACGGATGCTAAGGAAATCCTAGAAAACAAACTCCTACCACTGCGTAGAGGTGAGTTTTATACACAAAAAAACACATTCTCAGACTTAGTTTTTGACTCTAGAGTGACTATTTGTGTTGTTGTGTGCAGGGTACATTGGTGTGGTGAACCGCAGTCAGAAAGACATTGATGGGAAGAAGGACATTCGTGCCGCTCAGGCAGCAGAGAGAAAGTTCTTCCTGTCTCACCCCGGCTACAGACACATAGCAGAGCGTATGGGCACACCACATCTACAGAAGGCACTCAACCAGGTTCCCCATCAATTGTTTGTTGTGCAATCGCAATGTGTACTTCACTTCCTTCCATGCCCTTTGATATTTGAAATAACCCTAGTTACTAACCTCTGTCTCTAGCAATTGACCAATCACATCAGGGACACTCTGCCTGGACTGCGCAGTAAATTGCAGAGTCAGCTCCTTTCCCTGGAGAAGGAAGTGGAGGAATACAAGAACTTCCGTCCAGACGACCCAACACGCAAGACCAAGGCCTTGTTGCAGTGAGTGATTCAGAATATTGCTGCTTATAAGAATGTAGCAACCATTAGGTCATTCTTAAACACCTAGCATAACGTGTTGAGTAGTTGGCCTACAATTGATGATGTTGAGATTAACTGTTTTGGAACAATTCACATTCACTGTTTTAGAGTTAAAGGTCACCTATTATGCAAAATCCTCTTGTTCATGTCTTTTATACATAAACATGTGTCCCCTCTGTGTAAAGAGATTCTGAAAGTTTCAGGAAAAGAGATTCTCTCTCTTTTTGTCCTGATCCATTTATATAAAAACCTGTCTGTAAATGAGCTGATCAGATATTGGCCACTTTATGATGTCATAATGATGTTTTGGCTTCTGTAACCATTAGCCAATAACCAAACAAGGTAACCCCCCCCACCCCCACCTTATCACCTGAATCTCCTCCTAGAGCACCATTGTGTTATTTTTAGCCAAATATCTTGCAGAGGGGCGTGGGGAGCGGCACCTTATTTTCATCTAAAGTAATGGCGCTTTTCCACTGCAGGACCTAGCACGGCTTAGTACAGTAACCATTATGGTTAGGCCTTGGTAGGCCAGGCTCACTTTATACTGCGTTTCCATTACAGTTTAGTACCTGGGGTAGTAACTATAGTAACGCAGTGTAGGCGGGGCGATCGGCTGTTCGGAGGGCGGGGGGACGCTGCATAAAACTGTCATCTTCGATGCGAACCACAAAACCAAAACATCAGCCGTTAGCTTTTAGCACTCAGAACTCACAGCTCCTCATATCTGTTCAGAAACTAGACAAAAGTTAAACAAGTACAAACCACAGACTGTCTGTGTCATGGCGAATACAGTAGGGCTGTCCCGAATAAAAATTTTCAGCAGCGAATATTCGTTTCGTGCGGGGGGTGCGTAGTAATCAGCAGCGAACCGCTTCGACGCGTGTATTTCGGTTTATTCACGGCATTCTTTTTGTTATTCTACAGTATTGTTGTTTTATAGTTATTTGTTAATGTATATAACCCAAATTGTGTTCTTTGAAATTGAAAAGGATATTGCATTGTGTGTGTTACTTTCGTTGCAGTTGTATAGTTAGTGTAATGGCTTGGCTTGGCTTCCTATTTTGTATGGACATGCTTTTATTTTGAAGGAGAGTTAGCTCTGTTGACAGGAAGTTGTTGTTGCTATGGAAACAACGTGACGGAGATTAATGGAGAAAAAGTCATATTTACATATAAAGACGGAGAAAGTAAACGATAACGTTTATGGTTAAGTGTTANGGAGGAACCAACATCCTTCTGACTGCTTTTCTGTTTTTGTTTTGTTTTTGTTTGTGTTTTTGTTCTTGTTTTGTTTGTCGACCTGACTCATAATGTAAAGCGTCTTTGGGTCTAGAAAAGCGCTATATAAATCCCATTTATTATTATTATTATTATTATTATTATTAAGAGAAAAGTATTTTATTCTTCTGCACTCCCTCTCCATCCAACAGAGGACTAGGGTGAGTGACGGGGTTAAAACATGTTGATTAGTTCCAACAGCAACATAAACATGAGGAGGCAATAACATTATTAGTTAGACATGCGGGGAAAAACGACTTTAAAGTTTGAAATCCACTTTGTTAAAGTCAGAGGGAAATGTTAAACCAATTGACATTAAGAAAGAGGAGATAATGAGATGCTTTAGTTTGAATACTTTTTGCTAGTAGATGACAACTGCCAAGATGGTTGTAGATGTATGCGTCACACGTATTTGTTTAAGGTGTACGGTTACTTCTGAGATGAACTCCAAAGGAAAACAACATTTGAATGATTACAATGAAACGAGCCCATTGAAATCATTGGAATGTATCCCAAAGCCATGACCAGTCCCCATACGACATTACAAACAAATTTGATTCGCTCTGAATACAGAAATACTCATTAGGAACGTGGAGACTGGTGGGTTTTTGGATATGTATGTCGTTTTAGAGGGAAATGGTTTTTTACATACATGTACTTTAAAAAGAAATCATTGGAAATTAATGCAAAGAAGATTTCAAAGAATCAAAATGTTTACTGTGTTGTCGATTAAAATCCCCCCTCCCACTCCCTCCCCGTTTCGACCCCAGCGATGTTAGGGATGATTCTCACGAGGCACACTTTCACAATGCACGAGGCAGCAGCAGAGGTATAAACCCTAAGACATGAGAACTGACGCCACTCCACGGTCAGTGATTGAGGATTTCTCTCTGAGGTCCTTAACAGGAAACACAAAGAATTGCCAAGTGCAATAATCTCTTGGAATTATAATGTCCTGTTTAAAAATATTGGGTGGAGAAAAAGTGAAATGTTAGTAGCAACCCAGATGTGTCCAATTAAAGACAATTACTGTCTTAATAAACTAAACCAAGAATTACGAGTGAACCTGCCGTGTGTTACTGTTTAGTCAGTTCCAAATTACTGGTAACTGCGTGCTAAAGCTAGAATTGATGTTGATATGAATTTCATCTGGAGACTCTACCTTCTCCTCTTGGACCTCTCCTAGTACGCCAAGCTGCAGAGGGGTAAAACAACTCATTATGGTGAGGTATACATTCCTGTATGTGCAGGAAGCCGTTTGTCCTGTTGTCTCTCAGCATTCTGTCTTCTCCACCCTAACCATACTGGCTGACCTGTGTGTTGGCCTCAGTCTCCTGCATGGCCTACCCCTGCTGCCCCCGGCAGAGCGCGGTTAGAATATTTCGGGTACTTACCAGAATCTCACCCTGCAGTTAAAAGGAAGGTGAGGGAAAATTCAAGCAAAGGGGAGCAGGCAAAGATAAGGAAGAGATGAGAGATGGGAGGTGAGGAAAAAGGGAGCAAGTGGAGAGTTGGAAGGAGAGAGGAAGTAGAGAAAAAGAGGTCAAGATAAGGATGGAAAAAAGGGGTAAGGAATGATATGTTTGAGGGGAGCGAAAAAAAAGGAGGAAACAGAAAGCAGTAGTCCAAGATGGTGGAGGCAGGAGAGAAAAAGAGAGAGAAAGAGAGAGAGAGAGACAGGGCAAGAGAGTTACATGCAATTAGAATTACTTCAGGTATACAAACATTTGGTTATGTCATTTGTTGCTCAGTTGATCGATGCAGTGTCCATGCACATTCTGAAATCTCCATTCGAAAGATGCTTGTGGGTTAATGGCCAGCCAACAAAACAACCAACAGCATCCTGTGATTACGTTTTGCTTCGCAGTAGAACAACATGCCTGGGTCACATGCAAACAGCAATTAATATAGTCGTGGGAAAAAAACAGCTTGAAGGAGGGAAGCTGCGTCTTCTTTCGCTTCATTAAAGAAACCCTCCCCTCACTGAAACTAGAATCTCTAACGCTGGTTAGCAGTCTCAAAATCATGTTTCAGGATTTTAGCAACACACATCGAAATTCAACATACTTTAATATCAGTCTGTATAAAACAGAAAAGAAGAAGTACCAGCTGTGTGGACAAGCCCGTTCCATATGAGGATTAGAAATAAAGGAACCGGCATTAATCAGTAGTTCAAATGATAAACAGTGGAGGTATCTTTAACAGTTTGATAGGTTGCGATAGATTAATGGCGATGAGCTTAATCACTTCTGAAGTGAGATATATTCACATGGGTGACTAATAGGCTGGTAATGGGAGACATCAGTCAAGGTAGGTTAAAGCTGGGATTGTTGAAAAGGCCAGAGCCGGGTGATAGGACTTACCTGGTTGGGTATGGGCCGCTTCTTGTTTGCAGCTGTGTTTCTCTGCTGGGCGCTGTCATTACACACAGATGGACAGAAAAGACAATAAATATGATTGATGAAAGCACAACAAACACAACCCGTCTCAAGTTATTTAAAAATATATACAAGGCGTGCACAAAATGTCTTGCAACACTTATCTGCGTCTCATGAGTGATAATGACCAGATAACCAATCATTTCACATTGGTGTATTTCAAAAAAGTGAATAACCTGTATATAAGCCACGCCTGGGGGGGAGAAAGGCTAAGGTGTCGTGACCAAAGATGGAGGATTTCATATTTCAAAGCAGAGACAAAATGTAACTGATATCACTTTTTTTTAAACGCAACAAAAACAATTCAGACTCTTCCAATGTACATTTATTTAGTTTAATATGTACATAAAAAACATTTCTTGTCTTCCTGTGACATTGTCAAAAACATCCAGACTGACAATGACATATTTGACTCTATTAGGCATGCTGTTGTTATTCTTCTACTGTGTGTTTCCTGGTAGAATGGATAGCATAATTGGAATAAATGACCTATTACTGGGCTGATGTATATCTTAAAATCGCTAATATATACGGATACACACATACAGGAAGTTGAACATTGCCCGCAGAAGATTTCTAACAACATGGAGAGTCAAAGTGTCCCTCTCACTCACACACCACCCTACATGCCTTCAGTTAGCCCACCTGTTGCTGCTGAACACTGGGGGGCTACCATCATCCAGCCTTCTGTAGTCAAGACTGAAAGTGACGTCATGAGAACCGTTAAACAGCCCTGGCTAACCTCCAACACATTACTGCAATCCGCTCGCCATGCAGAGGCTAGCATGAACCCGCACACACACAAGCGGCGTGCTTTATTACTCAGTCACCGGCACGACCCACGCAGGGGGGGACTACATGCTACTACACTAGACTACGAGAACGCAAGCACAAAGTCTAAACCGCTCAGAGATAAACCACAAAAACAGTGCTTTACAGTGTGCAAATGTGTTTCAAATGCACACCAGCAGCTATCAGCAAATGCAGTAAAACATCAACACCCTCCATTGTACAGTACGCATTCTTCATCATGGCGGTCACACAGTCGGCAGCAGACAGGAAGTTTATCTGGCAAGTAATCGAGCATGACATGATGGCTTTGTTTAGAGGAGTATTATTGTTACATGCGAAAAGGGGGGGAGAGGTGGGCAACTAATGTGACCTTTATCATTATGGCATCCACATCCCCAAGGGAGCCTCATGCTCTGATGTGGCTGGATGACTAATTAGCATACTACATCACACTGTAGCACGGCTGCTTACAACATGTGGCTAATTATAAGCAACACTTTGATTAAGAAGAAGTGATGCGGTGGGGAACCTGTTTCTGAATCAGCAGCTGGGTTCCACATGTATTTGTGGCTAGTAGTGACATGATTACAGCTCTTTTCCTTTCTAAATGTACAGAATCACAAGTGCACTTCAGACAACGGGCAAACCGGAGTTAATCGGATTCACGATGCCTGTACTGAGACTTCAGGTTCTGGAAACACGCTGCGAGTTGGACTAAAGAAGGCGGGTGTACATACTTAGCAAAGCCTATGAAGTCCTCATGATTGGTGTTGATGTAGGACAGCTCAATGTCAATCAGCAGCAGAACCTTGATTAGAGACCAGAAAATCATGATTAGGATGGAGAGCTCTCAATTAAACGTCACTTACAGAGGGCAGTAAGAGAGAGCAAGTTCACACGACTAATACTTCACCTTGAGGAAGATTACAATTTAAGATACATGCATAGCTATACCAATATAGACTGATATTCCCTATGTTTTTTTAAACTGCAGATGAGAATATGACTTATTCTATAAATTTCAGTTTATAATCCCTACGAATCTACCTGCCTGCCTGCCTTACTTTTGCTTTAAATAATGAGTTCTAGAAAAAATGCTTTCAAAATGTTCAAGTATTTCACAATTAATTTAGACATTTAAATGTGTAAACCTTTATGTTTTCATTTGAAGAAAATTGAAAGACTTAATACAAACTGTGCTAATGCAGTACAATTATTTTAAGGTTGATCAAATAACCAATTTACAGCTTATAAAATTGTGGTTTATTTGGTTCTCTGCACAAACTAAGTTAAAGAGACTGCTAACATACCGACACTAGAAACTAAACACTTTATTTGATGTCTTTTGTTATGTTTCACTGGCAGCTTGCATATGGATCAATAAGCTAACACTAGCCCACGTCTACTTCGTGTTGCCTCCCCCTTCCAAGGGGCAACAAGAGGGGAAGTATCTTCCTCCCGCCAGCACAATATTTCTAGCAGGGCCACATATGAAATGTAGATTGGAGCTCTTACTGTATTTTTTTCCACATATGAAAAAGACAAACATGAAAGGCTGGCCTGAAGGCACTTGAGAGTCCATTTGTTCAACATCCCAGCGACTCACCTGGTCCTTGGTCTTTCCTTCTCTCTCTCTCACGTGGGTGGTGACAATCCTCTCAGTCTCCTCTCTCAGCCTTGGGTAAGAATTGAGCTGAAAAAGCAACATACCACATTACTGCAGCGTTGAACGGAGAACACACACACACAGACACACACACACACACACACACACTTGCATGTGAGCTTGAGCTTAGTAACACTTACCAATAAGAATCAGAGAGAAACAGGAGTGAGAATAAATAGAGAACAAAGAAAAGGGAAAGAGATAGTCAAGTGACATTTCATTGTCACACATGTCCAAACAACTACAGACCAACACACATAAAACAGACTAAGTAAACAATGACCATCTGTTCTACAAGGTGATAAGGCTTTTACCATCAGCCAGGGATGACTTGGCCAACAACGTAATGCTACGAGTTTGCCATGGGCTTAAAGAGCTCTCCAGGGATTGAAAGCCAATTACAGATTGACTCATAATGTGGAACGAGCGTTGTGTGCTTGCCGTTTCACCTCACTATATTTGCATTTTTTTTTCAGTGCTGTGTAAGCTTGTTCTTGGATGGGTGACTGGGATCTGATGTTTGTTACATTGAGGTAAGAGGATTGAGGACTAAAGAAAAGTGAAACACACAGGCTGCACACTTCTAGGGGGTCGCAATTGATGAATGTAAGAACATGTACGAGTTTCTACATTCACACATTTTTGTAACCCTACTCATTGTAACTTTGAGGAAGCATTTTGTTTAGAATATCAATGTAGAAACCTTTCAAACAAACGGAGTAATGTCTTAATTGTATGCAATGTCAATACATTCAGGACCGTCATCTCTAACTGATGGTAGAGTTTTGATAATATTGATATTAGTGAAGACAAGATGAGAAAGGGAAGTGACAGAATGGGGTGAGGGAGAGATAAACAGGGGAAAGTGTGTATGTACATCCAGTGTGTATGTTCAATAATACAATAATGTGCAGTGACTCCATTGGTCCACAAGATGGCAGTGAAGCACCGTTGCTATGGAAACCCTTCATTCAAGCTGCCACCGCATGCATTGGCTATTAGTTTCAACATCTCTTTACTAAAATCACTCCCTTTCTATCACATTCAGCAAAGAGCTGGATGTCAGACCAGGAAGCAATGTGGAAATGGAAAATATTTAAATGCTTTAATGAGCAATGATACTGAGGTCAGACGACATGGGGGAGCTGTCTGATGGAATGTTTTGTGTTTGAAATTTAAATCGTGTTTTTTAAGTCAGTACTAAATCTGAATGGTATGGAGACTTCCAGACGTGGGAAGAGTGGAGATGGGACGATACACACATTGGAAGCAGTGGGCACGGATGGCAAGGGTGGGAATGGGACTGATTTCACTTGGGTGATCTTTTTACTAGGATGACAGAGGTAGACATTTCGAAAGAAAAGGAATTCCTTCTCTTGTCATGCCATCATCCCAGCAGGGGGGTCCCTGGTTACCTTAACAGCACACTTCATGACGAGCGCGGTCAGCTCGGACACCACAAGGTCCACACATTTGAGGCTGGGCTCTTTGAGTTTGAGGATCTGCTTTTTGACTATCGCCTCGAAAGCCAGGTCAGGGGTGAAGAGCCCCGTTCTGAAAGGTCATGGGGTTCAGAGTGCAGAGTGGTGGTAGAGAGAGAAAAAAGGGAGGAAATAAGAAAGAAAAAGAAGAAGAAAATCCAGAAAGGGGAAAAAGAGGACAGCCAGGAAAGAGAAAGACAAGAAATAGAGTCTTTGTTTAGTTAGTGGTTTATAGTTGCAGACAAACAAACCAAGCAGTGCAGAAGGACAAGCCACAGGTCTTTCACATCCTCTTCCCTGAAAAACCAGTTCCTCTAAAATTGCGTCAATAAGGCAGAGATTTCACTTACAACTCAATACCAAATTAATGCCTAAGACTAATCCATGTTTTACTGGCTATGTGTACTGAGCTATGAGACCTGCAGCTTTTCCAGGAGAAACCAGAGATGCTCAGACAGGTTGAGTCCTTGAAACATCTTGTATCCACGACGACACGTCACCCGTCACAACACTCCACAACACGACAGCGCTGCCTGCACGGGGCTAATGGAGCCGGGCTGGGCTGAGGGCAAACCGCACAGAACGTTCTTTTGTTTTTAGTTAACTGATCTTTCTGGGATATTGTAGGAAGCTGTTGGCTAAGTTCTGGGTCAGCGTACCCTCTCCCACACCCCCATGTCGCCCCCTGCCCCGTGTCTCGGCTGGGTCGGGATATGCCAGACACCTGCAGTACCTTGTTGGTGCACTGCCTGACTGTGTTGATGAGCTCCTGAATGACCAGATCGATACATTTGAGACAGGGCGTTTTCAGCTTAACGATCTGCTTTTTCACGATGACCTCAAACGCCAGGTCTGGAGTGAACAGCCCCGTTCTGAGGATGCACAGAGAGACAGAGGCACAGCGGCACACAGATGGGACAGTTAACAGACGGGTAAGCCGACAAAACAGATGAATAGACTGATGATTAGGTACAAAAAAAATAAAAAAGGTGACTGAAAAGGTCTGAGGTTATGGACAAAGAGACTATTAACATGCCGACAGCACCAACAGGTGGAGAAAAGATAAAGTGTCAAATAAGGCCAACCACAAACAAGATATGATAACAGACAGGGAAGAATTCATTAGCGCTAAGACACATGTAACACAAAACCTCATTTTAAATGAATGCCTCATCAAACAGAAACAGAAAAGGATGGTGGGTGGTGCTGAATTGAGGAGATAAGGGGATTTATATTTAACAGCGGGAGAAAGAAGAAAAGGGGGAAACACATTGCACAAATAACATAAAACACTTTTACTTGTACTTTTAGCCTGTCATGGCAAAGATTGATTAGAAAAACTTGTATGAGGGGAAAGAATCCAAGTGTGTGGTCACAGCAGTGTCATGTATATTAAGCTCTGTAGGGGGCTTCTTTGGAAGTGAGGCAGTTTTGTTTTGTTGCTGTTCCACTTGCCTGACACCATGGACGTTCTTGATTGCGTGACTGATTTCTCGCCTTAGCTCCTTCTCATCAAACACAATCTGGTAGAAAGAGGAAAAAGATGCTAATTATATTTTAACAAATCTTAAAATACTGAAATCTTTGTGAAAACCAAAACACTGTAAAAACTGCCCTTCAGACTTACCTTGACCAGTTCGAAGGGGAAGCGTTCGTGGAAGAGGCGGTTAATCTTTGCGCCCCCCGACAGCTCGTTGGTGTCCACCTGGTCCCCTGAGCCCTCAATACACTTCTCAAAGTCCACACCAAACTGCTGCACCATCCTGATCAGAGTCAAACACAAAAGATTACAACTATAGCTTGAGGCTTCTTGAACATCCCAGCAAAAAACCCTGTTCTGTAGAGTAATGCTAACTCCACTAGGGGTAGTTCCGGCTCAGGGCTGCCTTTTCACCTTTTTTCTGGCCCTCCAAAATCGAGGTTCATACCGGGCCAACAACCGAGCTGAATATGCTAAACTAGTGACGTAAACACTCTCGACTGCTGAATGGTCAGGGAGAATCGCTGGCAAGGGGGCTACAACTACAACAAAATGAACATATTTGACCGTGATTTAATTGTAATACACGTATGAAAATAATGCCGAAGTAACAACATACTGATACCGGTCTGCAGACAAGACGGCAGGCGAAAACCTTTTAAAATGTGTGTTTTCTGAATCGGATCGATCAGACCTAAGCTAACGTTGTAATGATGCTCCCGTCCCACAGCTCCACAACAAACAGGCCTACAGACATAAATAAATCACGCGACTGTATCCTAGGGCCTGGATAGCCCCAAATATCCGAATATTCGTTCGTTGGAGTACTATTCGCGGTTTCAATTGTTCGGCTTATTTCAGATATTCGTTTTTTAATTTTTTACTGAATTGAAAAATATCCAATATCAACGCTAAGAAGCTTGTGGCCGTCTTCCGGGCGGGTGCCTAACACTTAAGCCACCCATAAACGTTATCGTTTACTTTTCTCCGTCTTTATTATGTAAATATGAAGCTTTTTCTCCATTAATGCTCCGTCACGTTGTTGTGCCATAGTCNCTGTGAAAAGTGTGTTCTACTGCTAAGACAGAAAAGCAGTCAGGAGGAACGTCAGGTCGACAAACAAAACAAAAACAGAAAAGCAGTCAGGAGGATGTTGGTTCCTCCTGACTGCTTTTCTGTCTTAGCAGTAGAACACACTTTTCACAGATAGACATATTGTACTTTAAGTGCATGGCGGTGTATGTGGGGAGAATATGGAGGCTCAGAGCTAAAAGGGCTCCTGCATGGCCTATGCTCTGAACTCGGCCTCTTAGTCTGGTGTATTTCCTGCCTCCATCTCCCATGTTATCGTTTCACTTTATGTCTCTTTATTAAGTCTGGGAGATTATCTAACTAGCCATCTCTCTATATCTATTACTTTACCCCATTCTTCTGCACTCATTTCTCCTCATTTTTACTTAAACAGTTGTCCTGTTAACCCCACTAACGCTGCTTTTTAGAAAACAACTAATACATAGTCTAGCTTTAAAAGTAATTAATGCTTTTTTTTTAAAAACAACTAATACATAGTCTAGCTCTAACTGACCCTCTGACACCAACATACCACCGTCGACCTTTGCTCTTTGACTCTGAGTTGAGGCTCTGGACACCATCTGGTCCTGTTTGTTTGTTGGTTTAAAGATTTATTTTCTGTCGAAAAAGAACCACTTTTTAGGATCTTCAATCAATCCATTTGTTCCCTTTTGTATACATTTAGCAATGTAACACACAGTATGTATTACTCTGCATGCATTACTGTCCCTTTGATCACTTCATGACGTTTAATAATTTTTCCATTTAATCCTCACTATGAAATGCATGTTTACTTAATACTAGACTCATTACATGTTGAATATTAAGACAATAAGATAAAATAATACCACGTATACAGTGAGCCAGCAGGTAAGAAGGTAAGGTTTTATTAGTGTCAGTCACATCCCAGTACACCTATGGGGCCCTTATGTCACCAATGAATAAACTTGATTGATAAAGCTGTTTTCCTTCGCCCTCCTGTTGTCCCCCTCCCCCCCCCCCCATCACCCTTTGCTCTCCCCTATATCGTCTCCTCCCTGTGTAGGTGATCAGGAAAGGCTGGTTAACCATCAACATCAGCATCATGAAGGGAGGCTCCAAGGAGTACTGGTTTATCCTGACTGCAGAGTCCCTGTCCTGGTACAAAGACGAGGAGGTGAGAGGCATTTCTGTGTTCCACTGGAGATAAAGATAGCTCAGACAAGGTGACATGATAAATAATGCATACAGATGAATATGTAGCAGAATTAGAATACATTTTCCAAGGTGGAGATTTGGCAGCTGGAGGTGTGTGCGTCCCAGCCCAGCCTAACCAATGTGCAGACTACTGTTCAGCTGTAGCCTGATGAACAGGTAGTCTGAACACTGGGCAGGCGGGGGGGTTAGGATGACTCTGATGGGAGGAAAGACCCCGAGGTCATGGCGGCTGCAGGTCGCTACCCTAGGACAGTAGGACAGAGGGCGCAGAGAGCAAACATTAGCCCAGTGGAGCAATCGCACATTTTGAAAAAGCCACGTACATAGAAAGTGACTGATAGTATCTGGAGCCATACTGCTGAATCATGGTTATACTTATTATGTTAATAAACGTTTAATATCTCAAAAATAACTTTATATAACAAATCTAGCCTGCACAATGTTTTCAACCAATTGAAGCAAAGAAAATCAAGAGAAGGTTGGCTGCATTCCGTCTTCGCTAAATAACTACAGTATGTGCACACTCGCCTCTACCATTTTTTCAAATGATTTATAGTATAGACATTTTCAAATAGTGTATGAAAGATCGATTAAGTTAACCTGATTCAATCAAACGGTCAGTTTAACTCACGACTTAACATTTGAAAACAGTGGTTTAAAGTGCAAAAATCTTTACTTACCGCTCTACCTTCTTCCCAAGGCCTCGGTCGTGTCCATTCTTAAAGCAGAATAAAAAGACCACTAAAAGAAACCACTATTAACCACGGGTTAAGACGACCTCGAGTCCAGTGGCCTCGGTGTGTCCCAACACTAACCGACACGGAGCATTTTGCGTCGCTCGCCTTTTTGCGAAAGCGAAGAGAAAGAAAGAGAATGAGAGAGGGAGGATGGTGGAGGCAAACTGACGTGGCAGGCGGGCTGAAATGTTCCAGCCGGGATCTGACTTTGGAATTTGCAGGAAATCGTACTGGGTTACGGGGGCCAGGGGGGGGGGGGGATTGTGTGTGTACAAGTGTGCGTGTGTGGAGACGCTTGTCCACATCAGTCCGCCTGAATCTTTTAATATTAAGGCGGTTGAACATAAATGTGTGTATGCATGTCTTTGCACTCACTGAAATCCCATATATGTTTGTTCAACTTGTTTGTTTGTCTCTGCACGTGCAGTTAAATATTGGACAGTGTGTGTGTGTGTGTGTGTGTGTGTGTTGGGGGTGGGGGATTGTGTGGAGCTGTGAGTGATGTAACTGTTGGGCCTGCGCCGCGCTCTGTGCAGATGTAAATGCTTCCAGATGTCTCTGCTCAACAGTGAAAGCTGGCACCCCATCCCCCCCCCAGAATTCCCTCATGCTCCTCCTCTCATGCATTTCTCCATCTCGCCAGCCTGGTGGTGGTCCACACCACACAGTGAAAATGCATTCCATCATGTCTACTCATTGGTGGAGATCTGCAATAACAATATATACAATGTATCACTTATAGGAGATGTCACTTCTTTGTGTTGTATATTCCAGGTTTCAGTTTTGCTCAACATATATTTTGTCCGCCTCATGCTAGGAGAAAGAAAAGAAGTACATGCTGCCCCTCGATAACCTGAAGCTCCGAGATGTGGAGAAAGGCTTTATGTCCACGAAGCACGTCTTTGCAATCTTCAACACCGAACAGAGGTCAGACTTAGGTTGCAAATAAAAACCTGTGAATGCGTATGTGCCTTAACTTTTGTGTGCATGAAGCTTGTCCTTGTGTATTATTATATTAGCCTTTCAAACCCTCATGTTGTCTGTACAGAAACGTCTACAAGGATCTTCGCCAAGTTGAACTGGCATGTGATTCTCAAGAGGATGTGGACAGCTGGAAAGCCTCTTTCCTCAGGGCTGGAGTTTATCCGGAGAAGGACCAGGTGTGTTTTATAAATTAATTGACATTGTTTTTAAACCTAGAGTGAGGAACATGTGTCTCCTTCCTGTGGCAGTGAGAATGATTACACACACACACACACACTGCAGCAGCTATGAAGATGTCTTTTTGATATATTTTGACGTGTGTGTTGTCAGACGGACAATGATGACGCTGCCCCTGCAGACACATTCTCTATGGACCCTCAGTTGGAGCGACAGGTGGAAACCATCCGTAACCTGGTGGATTCGTACATCGGCATCATCAATAAATCCACCAGAGACCTTGTGCCCAAAACCATCATGCATCTTATGATCAACAGCGTGAGTCCAACAGTCCTCAGCAGAACACACAAATGCCTGCACATCTGGAAAAACAATGAGAAAGATCTACTGAGTTTATTACCATTACGATGTGCACTATTTTTCTTTAATATACAGAAAAAAATACTATTCATTTATAACCACACCTTTTGTACAGTGCAGAGAACAGCACAGCAAATGTGTTGTGTGTGAGTGTATCCTCCCATTCTTAAGGCTTTTTGCTATGAAAAATGCAGCAGTTGAATATCCTCCCATCTTGCAACATTTTCTCACAAACTATATAAACCCTGAGGTTTCCATTAGCTATGTATCCTGACCAATACGCTGCTAGTCCAGCAGATGTAGCATCCCACATCCCTATTTTCTTCATAAAAGATATCAAGGCACTTGATAAACCACTGATCTGAGACCAAACAAATAACTATTTTATGAAGTATACATTTCATTGCACCATAGAGCTCTGCAGAGTATCGTGTCGTTGCCTTGTTCATTTTAATAGCAACAGTGTTCATGTATTTCATGGGCACACAGGGCCATAAACTTGAAAACACTAATTAACGGGATTTACGGCGTATGCTCACACTGACTTGTCCACTGTCCATTAATTAGGTTTTATTATTGTGGTGAGCTCACTTGATGGCTTCCAGCAAACCACCAGCTACACACACACACACACACACACACGTGCACGCACGTACACCACACACACACACACACACACACACACACACACACACACATCCAACACACACACACATCCAACACACACACACATATCCTACACACATATCCAACACATCCACCCTTGCAGCTCCTTTCCCATGGTTTTCTAATATTTTGTTTTGANAATTAAACTTGTGCTTCTCATATATTGTACTAATTAAATATATATGTACAAATATATATCACAGTATTCATGTGTGCCCACTTTTCAAATAACTTCAATCAATTAAAGTTGGAAACATTTTTAAACTAATCTTAGTTCATATTAGGCTTAGGCTTTTTGCCCAATCACTTATTTGCATAACAAATCTTTGTATAAGCAATCTGAAGCTTCTGTTTTAAGGCATGAGCTGCAAACTAAATAAATGAAACCCTATAGAGAGCTGTGATTTAGGCTGTTGTGTTTCTTACAGCACATTTAAGTATCAAGCTTAAAGGGGACCTATCATGCAAAGTGCACTTTGTGATGTCTTTTATACATACATATGTGTCCCCGGTGCGTCGGGGAACTCACGCAGCGTCAGAAAATAAAACCTTCTCTCTTTTCCTCCGTACACAAATCTTTTAAAAATGGGTGTACAACGAGCGGATACAGATTCCATCCGAACTGACATCAAATCGGCAGCGGACCCACAGAAAGTTGTTATCAGAAACAATGCCCGACGTGTTTTGGACGTAATCTTGTCTTTGTTTACATTAGCAAGCCTCGCTAACAGTCAGAGCTAACCTGTACTGTAGAGTACATGTGTTTTTAAAAAGCTGGAAATAAAAAAAGGATCTCACCTTGTGATCAACCTGCAAGAGAAAAAGCATTTGAGCTCCATACTATTTCAGAAATAATCCTTGATGTGGTTTAGAACAGGATGGCGTTTTATCACAGCAGAATGTAACTTTATCTCCGGTAGAATTCTGATCAGGCATTAGCTCCGCCTCCTCTTTTTTTTTCAAGATAAGGACCCAAGATCCGCTTTTCTCTAACAGGACTTCAAAAGAGGGGTTTGAGCAGTATGATGATGGCTACAATAGGTGATCTGTTTGGTATTTTGAAAAAAAAACTTTACAGACATGTTTTGTATAGGTATGGCCCTACATTATATGTTTCAAATAAAGCATGATAGGTCCACTTTAATTGACCTACATTTGATTTGACCTTCGTATATTTTTCTATATGTGGCCCTCGGTGAAAAAAGTTTGGACACCCCTGCTCTTGATCCTTAAACCGTATTTAATTTTGTCTTAATGTACATTATTTAATTTCATATTCTGTTCTTGTACATATCATATTCTATTTACATGTATATATACTTCTTGCACTATTTTTTATTTGTATTTTTGTACTTTATTATATATGTTTCATTGCCATTTCTACACTGTAGCTTATGTGCATATGACAATAAAACCTTTGAATCTTTAAGGTGATTATTATTATGCGAGATTTAATCATATCTCTCCCTCAGCCCCACCCCTCAGCGCAGACCCCCCCCAGCAGCCGCCCCGGCCCCCAGCCGCCCGCACGCTGCACGTGGCCCCACCCAGGGACAACCCATGAACCCTTCCCCTGCCTTCGGAGTGCCGCTCAACCCCTCTCCCGCCTTCGGAGCTCCACCCATCCCCTCGCGCCCGGGCCCACCCATCAACGCTTTCAACAGCCACCAGGACCCCTTCAGCGCACCCCCACAGATCCCCTCCCGGCCCGCCCGCGTCCCACCTGGTGTACCTAGGTAAGATTTGCTGTTATGATGCAATTGTCAAAACTTTATTTGTGTATAACTCCATTTTTTTTTTTTGACTGCATTTCTAACATTATGTCACTAACGACATCATCCTCTGTCTTCCAAGAGTCACAGGCATGGTTTGTCATTTCTCAAGCTCAACAAGTTGTCCCATCTCAACATTTATTATTATTATATATCTTGGAATGATTCCTCCTCTCACTCTGTTTCTCCCTCATTCTCCCTCTGTTTTCTCTGTCGGGTTGTTTTGGTTTCTCCACTGTCTCTTTGTGAGCGCGTCTCACTCCTTGTTGTATCTTCTCTCCCCGTTGCAGCCGAAGACCTCCCGGGGCTCCTTCTCACCGGCCCACCATTATCCGCCCTGCTGAGCCCTCCCTGCTAGACTAGAGCTGTGGCCAAGTGTGTGTTTGTGTGTGGGTGTGTGAATTTGCACACTGAAGGGCGGGGGCTCGAGGGGAGGGGCTGACTCATAGCGGTGCATAATGTGTGTCGTCAAGCCGTGCAAATATGTCTCTTCAAGCAATGTAAAAAAGCTGCTAATACCATCTTTATCAGTGCACATGAAAGACAGAAATCCCTTTACCACTTGAATATTACTTTTGACTGCTGTGGAAATAGTGTTAAATGAAACCCAGCTGACCTGTGGGATGCATTTAGCTTTAGTAGTTAGGAGATGATGTATCAAATTCAACTTCAGAGCTTATTTTTACTACAATAACTGGTTTATTTCTTCTGACGAGGTTCCCAGCAGAAGCTCATTAAGTAACTTATTAACTGTTAAACGCTGGCTTTCTTCTCCCCTCCCTCAGCATTTTAGATTGGAAACGCCTATCTCTAGATCTCTGTGTATTATTCACATTAACCTGTTGTTAATGTTGGACTGGGTTTTCATTCCCTAACTGATTCCTACTGAAAACAAGTTTATTTTCACTGTTGTTATTTTGGTGGTGCAGATTGCATTTCCCCTTCGCCTCTTTTGTTATTATATTTGAGTGACGTTTTTATGACCATCAGAAAAGTAGCTTTAAAAAAATGAAATCACAGAAAAGCAAAGCATGAAATGGGGCCGGGTTGTGTGAGAGTAGCTTCAGCCCCCCCCCCTCTGTGATTTACTTCCACAATGAAAAGATGTCAGATTGACCGTTATAATCCAAGCACTTCTAGCCATGTAGCCTTACAACAAACCTCTCATTACAGGATGTTGTAGTCCGTTACCAGAACACTATGCACGGAAACGCAGGAGAGAGACGTACAGGCTGAAGGCCGTCTGCACTTTGTGAGATGCTTTTCTCTCCAGTAATTCTACCTTTTTAAAGCCTTGAATTATAATCCCTTTAAATCTCAGTTGAACCCCCAATGAGACCTTCAGCCTTCAGGGTAGACTTTGTTCATTCCTGGATTAACTGATTTATATAGAGCAGAGCACACAGAACAGCTTCCTCTCAGAGAGGATCAAACTCAGAGAAGCGGTGGGGTGTGTAGTACCAGGACGTGATTTAGAGAATAAAGATGGTATTAAGCATTTAGGGGCTGGCACATCTCTTTCCGGGCTTAGCTGTCAAGAACATTTATTATTGCGATCAGTTCTGCTTCCATGCATTAAAGCATTGTATATAGCTGGCCTATACTGGGGAGTTAGCACTTGTATTTCATTTAATCGCAGAGCTGATAACAAAAACATGCTTGTAATTCTTATCAAATCCCAAACTGTTAAAATGCAACTGTAGTGCTTTAAAGGAAGCACTAATAAATTAGGCATGGCTGTTGGTAAAAAGAGATCTGTCATCTCCTGATGCATTATTTATAACCTGGGCATTGTCTTTTTAATTTGATGTTTTTAGTTGCAATTGTATCAGCTCTGCACAACTCGGCTCCCCAGCTTCTCCTGGTCTTTTATTCAGGGTTCTGCTACAGGGATTAGCTGTGTAAATGCGTTGTATGTGGGGTGGGGTGGGGGCACCTGGGGTTGGACACACAGCTGCGATTATTTGCGAATGAATTATCTATTAATTGCATTTTGAGTTTTTGATCCTTTTAAAAACAAATGTAGGTGGTCAAGCTGGGAGTGACGTTGGGCTACTAGGATGTTTTCTGTTTTAGGTCTGATCAGTAGTAGTGGTGGTGGTGGTGGGAGTTCTGGAGAATGAGGGCACACTCTGTCGACAGAAGCTATAGCTATCCAACCTAACCTAACATGACATCAAAACTGTAAATTGAATCCTAAATATAGACCCTGAGACAGAGTGTGCTTTTTCTTCCTCCTGTATTTCTTGACAGGTCTGGCTTTCAGTGACAGTGCCCAAAGGATGAAAACAGGCTTGTAAAACAGACCAAAATCTATAAATTGAAAACTCTTCACATGACATCTTCCAAAAAAAAAACACTTAGTTCATGTGATAAAACTTCCTATTGGCCAAAGTCTGTTGAAGCCCCCTTTGTGCCTGTCACATCAGCCTGCCCTTGGGAAGCCCAGACTGTAATGCCCTGTAATACATCAGGGTGTAGTAATACGGCCTTCCTTCCCAATGGATGTGCCCTGCCTCCCTTTTCCTCCCCCCTCCCCCTGTCTGTATCTGGTGGAAGGGGATGGAAACCAACCTGTACAAATCTCCTGTTTCTTTTTGTTTTGCAAACCCTTGTCAAGTGCCTCTGTAGCAATTAATTGATTTGAATAAACATGAACTGATTTTAGGATGCAGAGTCAATAAAGAGGTGTTGTGTACAATAAAGGGACTGGCTCTGGTGGTTGGTGTCTCCTTTTGTCTCGTGTGATCCACTTCCTCTTCTCTCTCTCTCTCTCTAGTGGCACTCCTGGTTTTCCTTTCATAACTTGCCCCTCTCTCTCTACATCCAGACCATTAAAGACTGACATAAGACCGCAAGCGTTACTATGGCAACCTTTTTACGAACAAAAAAATCCAACCATGCCATTTTTACAGCTATTATTTGTAACCCTACGTATACAAGGAATTCACTTCCTTCTCTAAGTGTTTTGTTTTTACAGCATTCAGTCAACTTAAATAGAATTTGTCTTTTTAGAAAAATTCACTTTAGTGTGAAAAACAGTTTTCATTTAATTGATTGTATAACAATAAAACCCAAACAACTTCCAAGTGGGTGGGAATATATTACATTTACCTCAAATTATTCGGGGAAAAAAATGCTGTTACGATGTTTTCAGACATCTTTCAATACAGTTTCCCGTTTAATCTTCTCCAATGTGACCCGGTACAAAAGGTCAGCAGTCATTTTGATAATGCCCTTTCCTTTGCCCCCAGCATTAATTTAGAAATCCAGGTTAATGTGTCTGGTCATATCTTCCGATAACTCTGGAGGGTGATCTCTCTAATCCCTCTGTCTAACAGTGCCTCCTCACAAATGCCGTTGATGTTCCAGAGACTGGACCCTGCAGTATTACCTGTCACAGTGCATGTCACCAGGTTATGAGATTAATGTTGGCTGATTGTTCCTGAACAGGCGCCCGGCTCCCCGTCGAAACCAGTGGTGACATGGCCTGGCCAGAGGTGGAAATGAAATGACCGCCATGACAACAGCAGCACTACAGAAGAACTACATATCTAATTTTCAACTAACATAAAAAGAAAAGCCCAGACAAAGCTGTTAAGGGTCTAAATAAATAATCTTAGGAGACATACATTTATAATTAGTATTCAAGAAATGTCTAAAATAGTTCTGAGCACTAAACTGATGTTCAGAGCCAGGTGATAAGAGTGTCAAATCTAATATAACACAAATCTAAACAGATATTTTTGGTTACCTATCTCCCAGAAGACTGCCAATTATTTATTTGAACATAAATTGTAACTTGAGGCCTACAGCATAAACAGAACACTATAAATTACCATATTTAGTTCCAAGCCACAAAGACATTTTTCTTTTATTGTATCATGTTTGTTTTGTTAACACAAAATAAAATGCATTTCAAGTGGTTGAGCGAGACCAGTGAATGTTTTATGACAGGAAATGTTAAAAATGAAGCTGAGCAGTCCCAAGAAGTATCAACACAGTGTGTAATATAGTGATTGAAAGGCACAAGTCAGTGTAATTGCAACCAAATGACTCCAATGCATCCAAATGATAGCAAGGAAATAAATGTTTTCCTCAGTTATCTCACAATCGACATGGCATAAATATTTTACCTCCAGATGGAGGAACTGATCAGGGAGATTGACTGCTTCTTTTGAATGTGTGCATTGCTTTTTATCACAGTATCATAGTAAAGATGTTATATATAGGCCTGAGAAAGAAAATGTAGGCTACACATAGTAGTTGAGGTTTCTACTGTTATTTTGTTTGTACAATAAAACAGATTAGAGTATTACATGTCCATGTGAATTGTATTCTGAAATTCAATAAAACTACCATATAGTGAGAACAGTGTTTTCTAGCTCACCAATGACAAGTATCTGTGTGTTTGTGTATTTATGTTTCTTTTATGTAGGTATACGTATGCCTTTGTGTTTCTGTTTGAATATTACAGTACTATAAGTGTGTTTCCTTGTGACTGGAATTCAGAGTTTCACAAAACATCAATGATGAAGCAGTTTCCCAAACGCGTGTACCCTCCCTTTAAATTCAGCTCATGTCAGATAAGGTCTTGGGGTCAAACTTTGCACTGTGAGCCTCAGCTTTGTTGCGGCTATGTGCACACCCGCTTGGTGTCAGCAAACAGGCGTTTCAGGGTGTAAATCTGAGTGACAGCGACAAAGAGCATGACCAGCAGGCTGAGGCAGGACCAGAAGGACACCCTCCACAGGTTGTCCTCCAGCAGGTAGCGGTCCCTCGCCTCTAGGGCCCGCAGCACAGCCAGGATCTGACGGCTCCTCTCCAGGTGCTGGTACACAGAGTCCATCTGAGCCTGAGACAGGAGGAACAGAGGATAAGGGGGAGGACGTCAGTGCCTCTGTGTGGACTTAAAACAGAATAACATCTAATAATTCAAGTGATGTCTGAAGAGGTATAACACCACTGAGAGGCAATTCAGAAACAAATACTGTGATCCTTCTGAGATAAAAACATATCTTCGGTGTTTATAATCAAGAATAGATTAACAGAGGTTTTGCTAGGATAATCTTTCTTCAGATGTTTTTATCTAGACGGGGGAAAGGTGTTGCCAGGATCTTTTTTGTATCAGTTGTGGAAATCATCATTTTGGTCACAAGAGGCTGAAATGCACCCTCTGTTCTTACCTGGACTCAAATACATTGTTATATATGTAATGTTTTTTTTATTACAGTTGAGCATTTCTGAAACACCTTTAACTTCCTTTTCACCTGCTTCACACATTTCAAAAATAAGGAATTGAAAAGAAAATGTAAGTTTATATCAGATTTTTTCCTAAATTGCCTTTCAGAGCTTCTGAAGCACATGCATAGCTTTTTGTTTTTCTTTCTCACCCTGATGTCCTCCATGTTGTACTCCCCCATGCTCTCTGTTATGGCCATGTTCTCCCACTCATTTGAGCCTCCAACTGAACTGCTCTCACTGTTAATGTTCACCTCAAAGAACACCATCTTCTCTGAGAGTTTACTGAAGCTGTTGTCGAAACACAACCGGTAGTCTCCATCCTCTGTGGAATCCACCCTGAAGGAAACAAAAAGGTGTAAATTTGGAAAGTGACATTTTGCTCAGTCTCAACAATATCAGAGTTTCAAGGTCCCCTATTTTACTGTTTTTCCTCAATATATTATAGGTCTCAGATATATACAAAACATATCTTTGGCTCCAAATACCAAACAGATCATGCATTGTAGCATCTCATAAACCCCTCTGTTTCAGCCCTGTTTCAAAAGTGTTGATTCTCTGTCTGTTACTTTAGATGAAAATAAGGAGCCACTCCTCACGCTTTTCTGCCAGACATTTGGTTAAAAATAACACAATGGTGCTCTAGGAGGAGATTCAGGTGATAAGGTGGGTGGGGGGGTTACCTTGGTTGGTGATTGGCTAATGGTTACACAAGCCAAAAAATCGATATGACATCATAAAGTGGCCAAAATCTGATCAGCTCATTTTCAGACAGGTTTTTATATAAATGAATCAGGACAAAAAGTGAGAGAATCTTTTTTCCTGAAACTTTCAGAATCTCTTTACACAGAGGGGACACATGTTTATGTATAAAATACATGAAAAAGTGGATGTTGCATAATAGATTACCTTTAAACTATTTGCTTTAATACCAAAAATAGTAGGAAATCAAGTCCTCTTTTTTATGAATTTGGCAAAATTAACTCTTGATTGAAAGATTATTATAGGGATTGAGCATCATATCAAAGGCAAGTGGTTGTTTGAGAGCATTTAAGTTACCCACATGTGAATGCCATCAGACCTCCTGAAGTCAGACACCAGCCGGTATCCGGTGGGGGAGATGAGGGCAAAGCCGACATCCAGCCCTGACCCGGCTATCACCTTTGAAAAAAACAGTGGAGGTTGAGCTCAGCCATGCAGGACAGCTTTTCATCACACTAGCTGAGGAACTGCAATGTTATATTCAAATGAAGGCCTCGTTGTACACTGAGCAACAACAAAGCTCACATTATGCCACACTGATAATGATGGACTGTTTAGGTATTTGTGTAGGCAAATCCTCTTTTTTGCAGCCTACTACTGCCTGCTTTTTTACCTCTAGTTAAAAAGAGCTCATACAAAGTTCAAAGGTCCTGACAGGGATTCATTGTTTTGGCTTCAAAATATTGTAAATTATGTCATATCACAGCGCCGTATCATGCACCAATGACTGTAAGACTATTTTCCACCAGGCACCAAAGCAAATTCCTTATATGTGTAAACGTACCTGGCAATAAAGTTGATTCGGATTCTGATGTTATGCATTTAGTTGTAACTGTAGATTGAATGTTTATAAAAAAAAAATATTTTAAAAATCACAATCAGTAACAAGGAATGGGCGGTGGTGGCGAAGTCGATAGGGACTTGGCTTGGCAACTGGAAGGTCACCAGTTCAAGTCCCGGCAAGACCAAGTGCTACCGAGGTGTCCCTGAGCAAGGCACCGTTCCCTACACTGCTCCCCGGGCGCCGTTCAAAATGGCAGCACACTGCTCCTAACACTAGAATGGGTCAAATGCAGAGAAACAATTTCCCCACGGGGATTAATAAAGTATATCAAAAAATATATATATATATATAAAGGGCAGCAGAATGTTAAAAAGAGCTCAACATCAACACTGTGTGAACTCTTCAGGTGAAGATTATTCTGATAGGCCTGGCACTTCACATCACTACAGTCCTGCAGCTGAAGAGGGTGCAGCAGTGGTATGATGACTGTGTTGTGAAGCAACATAAAGGTCAGGGCCCTAAAATGACTGAGGTCATAACATGAGGACATCTTTACTATGAAGCCATGTTTAGTATGTTCAACAGATGCAACCCTCGCTTACACATATTTGTATACGGCATTTTAAATCTTATTATTGTGGCTATATATTTATCATGTAAAAGCATGTATGTGCTTGTTCAGGAGGCCTGTTTTCTGTAGTGTGTGGAGAGGCAGGGGCATCCTTCTGACTTTTCTACCTCTTCCTTATCTGTCTTCAACAACAGCAGCAGCTATTTCTTATCTCTCTGCATTCAAGATCAAAGTCCAAGGCTTCTTCGCTTGTTGTTCAGGAAGACATTATTCACACACTTTAATAAAGCTATTCAAAACTTAACATACAACATTGTACCACCACTGTGCCAGACACAATGGCAGGAAGATAGAGAGGATATTATATTTACCTGGTATCCAACTTCCATGCTGTCGCTCCTTGCCGTTGTTTGGTAAAAACACTCTGTGCTGCCAGCAGATAATAGAAATGTGAACTGCATGTCTTTGTTTGGCCCAAAACCCAAAGTTAAATCTACAGTCAGAATCAAACTTGTCAGCAAACAGAGGCCTGCAGACATCATCCTCCACTCACAGCCCATAGTCTATTAAATCCAGGTTCACCAACTCCACACATGTACAATAAAGCCACTTTACTGTAGATGTTCTGACTATCATACTCCCATAGATGGAAAAAAGCCTCTCAGTAAAGTTCCTTGGTCGGAGCTGAACGAGTGGAGCCACTATCTGTGTCGCTTTGCAGTCTGGAGTGACTGCATGCAAAACGGAGATGGAGTGACAAGGTGCAGTACACTACACTAAACACCACACACACTATAAGAGTGCATGGTGTGCTTGGAGCATGGTGATGCCTGGAGTATGAAGGCCTGTACTATTAGAGAAGGTCAAAATGTAATACTTGTTGTACTGAATTCCGTTTGACCCCTAACAATCTCTACATTATTTGTGTTTCTTTTAACAAACATTGTACTTGTGTATTTATGTAGGTTGTACACTTGTCTTGTCCTCCTATATTCTGTAGAGGGAGCCATGAGTATAAAAAGAGGAAAAGCTGACCACACCATTTTAACATCACTGAAGCCTTGAGAATAATTTTGTATGGGTAAGCAAACAATTCGCAGATAATTGAGTATGATGCAATTCACATTCTCATACTTAATCTAAAAAGAAAAGAAGATAAGAAAAGAAAAGGAGAAACCACTCCAAAAAACGAAGCACTTGTTGAGTTAATGTAGGCCTTGTTACTGATTCACCAGCACTTAGTCCTACTATGATTTTGCTTGAATTGAATTTATCTGCACTTTCCTTTTTTTTCGGAGTTTGATTCTTTATGGTTTTTGTACATATTTTAAGTCGCTTGGATAAAAGCGTCAGCTAAAAGAAATGTAATCTAATCTAATCTAAGAGTCATACATGGTCTACTCTAAACCTTCCCCGACTGTCTGAGTCTGATGGTGGTATTTAAAATATTGTTTCTCTTTGTACATGCTTATGCCTAAAAACTATTCTGCATCCTCTGCAACAAGGCAAAGGTTTTTCTTTGTTCTGACTGCAAATGAGCCTCTCCATTTTAACCAACCACAAGTGAGCCCACCCATTTAGCTCTCTTTCACCTCTCTCTGTCTCTCAAGTTTAAGACTCTTTGAAGCAACACCCTCTGACAACTTCTAGGGGACATTTCCACACAGAAGCGTCTTTCAGTCACAGAGTGAGCACTGTAGGTATGTCCACGGCTGGATATCCCTCTGCGTATGCGGTGGACACCCATGCCACTCGGCCTCCAGTGCCACCCAGGCTGAGCCAGAAGGTGCGACGGGGCGACGGGGTGCAGAACCTGCTGATCCTGCTGGTGAGCCTGGCCTTGTGCGGGATGGCCATCGAAGCCTGCTTCATCTACCGCCTCTACCAACCTGCTAAAACTGTGAGTATCAACGCCATCTCTCAGTCCAAATCCCTCTGAATATGTCTTTAAAATCTCATTCAGCTTCAACACCTTTTTCTACTTTCAGTTTTCTCTGACTTGCTCTCCGTCAGCCTTAAACCGGTTTTGTTGGGTTTTTGTCAATAACACAAAACAACTTTGAAACTTCTTGATTTTCTTGAAATACTTCCGTATATTTGCATTCTAGTTTTTTTAAGCAAACATTGAATTACTTGAATGAATTGAATATGAATGGACACTTTTAAGGCTAAATTTTTTTTTAAAGCATTACAAAATACAAAACTTTACATAAAACGGCATCATAAAATATCATAATCAATCAATCAAAGTTTATTTAAATAACCAAATATCACAAATAGTATGTTTGTCACTTTACAGTTTGTACAATAGAAAACAAAAACCTAAAGATACACTCTTCATGTGTTAATGACGAGAAAGTGCGACTTTCAGACATTGGGAGTTTTATCAATTAAGTAGGACGATCACCATCGTTCACAGCTTTTTTTTTTTATAAATGCATGCCGCAGAGTCACATGCATAGGAAACCGCCTGCTTTGGTCTCATAGGCCTGCCATAACCAAAGTGGAAACTTCCACCCTTCCAATAGTCAATTTCTGATTAAATATATTCCCATAGTGTCATGATGGAGTTATGGTGAGATTTTTTGTTTCTATACAAACATTTTCCTTTTACAATAGTTGAGTGTAGGGCTCTTATAAATAGTGAATTGAAGGACTGTCATGATAGAAACAGAACTGACCTTTCCTCCAATCATATGAATGATGATTTTTTTTCTCCCTAAACTGCTGACGGTGAAATAATTTCACTATTATGGGGAAGAGAGTAAAGATGGAGAAGTCCGGTTCAGTTATGAGAAAAACATTGACGTCCATGCTTGACAGGGGCATGTGGTCTTGATGTCCCGTGATGGTGGTTAGTATGTGTTTTAACTGAGTGGCTCAGTTTCCTGTCCTCGTCTTAAGACCTGCTTGTGGGCAGCGAGCATGTGAGCATGGCAAATATTTGTTTGCATTAAATCAGTAGTGGTTAGAGATTATAAGGCGTAACAAGGGACAGTGGAAAAGAAGTGGTCTACTTCCTGTAGCATGATTGTGGTCTATTTTACCAGAAATACAGACCTGTCCTACTTTGCTATGCGGAAAGACAACAACATACAAACATGAAAAGGAACCCTTTAACAAAATTCAAAATTCATGCTTCAGCGAGATAGCCGTATTTCTCAATGTATTATCACAACAGTGATTGCATCTGCTCACAATAGAGAGCAAGTATGCACACACAACTGAGAGGTAACACATTTGTATTTACATTGCAGAAGACCTCAGCATCGTTCTCTAGGCAGATCGCAGGTATGTTTTAGCATTTGTACCTCAACAGAGAGATCTCACTACAGTAACTTAATTCGCATGAGTGACATTATGTATTTTCCTCACACAGGTCAAGACGATACCTCTACTACTGAAATTCCCATTCTTGTCATTCCTCCTTCCAAACCGGTTGCACATCTGACAGGTGAGACCAGTGTGGATTTTGCAATTTATAAACAAGGCAGAAGAAAGATGCATATTTTCTCAGAGCTTTTGAATTTCAAAATGTATTCATAGTTTCAAACCACTTGTTTAAAATAATCGATACATTTTAAGGACATTATATAAATCACATAAAGAATCAGATTTCACGTTGTTGCTGTTTTTTACTCAGATGGATTAGATGCAGTCCATGGAAAGACTATCATGGCATGGAGCATGGAGGCAGACCCTCTTCTGCATGAAATGGACTACAGAAACATGAGTCTAATCATTCAGAAAGAGGGGTATTACTATGTCTATTCCAAGGTTTCCTTCTTCAACACTGATTATTTTAACCACTCTATTCATCGGAATACCGAACGGTATGCTGGGAAAAGTATTCCCCTCCTGTTGTCCAAACAAAACGGGATGCACACGACAAGAAGATCCAACAGTTATCTCGGTGGAGTGTTTCACCTCACCAAAAATGACGCCATTTATGTAGAAGTGAGAAATACCCAAAATGTTGTGAAACACAAACCCATTGAGAATGTCTTCGGTGCATACATGATATAAATATCACATTGATATTTCACCATGGATTAATGATTCTCTTTGTAAGGAAATAGAAGGTCGATAACAGAAAGATTGATGTGCCTTTTTGAGTGTTACAAGGGTCAGGACTGTGCTGGTTTCCTTACTGGGGGTTGAAGCTGTTTTATTTTTATGCGTGAATATGATTCAAAATTATTTTCTTATCAGAGATTTTTGATATGCTTATGTTATGCTTATTTTATCCTTACTTTAAATGTAATCGTCTGAATGTTAACAAACGACTTGGACGTCAAAGATAAAAAAATAATAAAATAAAACATTCAAACATTTTAAAGTGTTACTGTTGTTCTTATTTTTGCTGGATATAAATGTAGTGTATTTGTCAAGTTAATACTGAAATAAAAGAAATAGAAACTGTCTCCTGAAATGATTTCCATTCTTGCTGTAACATAATGCACACTATTTATTCATCCCTTCAGTGGTTATATGATTGAGATGATTTCTTGCAATTATGTATACAACAATAAAGAGATAATGATTTAAAATGTTTTGAGCCTTACCAAGGCCATCATGTACTGTAGCGAGTTGAACTTCCTGTGGTGGAGCTTTGCTGTCTTTAGTAACAACAGTTTCCCCCATTCAGTTCAACCACACGACTCATACTGTGGAGAAAGTATTTTTTAAAATAGCACAGTGACACATAACTGTGTCATCCACCTTCAACCAGAATGTGTTCATGCTGTAATAATGCTTCATTAGTCCAACATTATGACAGATATGACTGTGCTTGAGTTTAGCAGCTTGCAATGTACCTCGTCTCTTATTTCAATCGAATAAGTAAAGTAAATGAAACAGAAACAACTAAGATACTAAGATATCCCTTGTGTTCGGAGTAACGCAGGCTCTAAACTACCCTCAAAGTTGAATCCTACATTCCCCTTGAAGATTTCAAAGGTTACCCAAGTGTTTGTGTATACTGTACTTCACTTTCAGATCAGCACACTTATCTAATGTAAGGTCAATGAGGATCCTTTTCATTTCATCACCATGGTTACAAGCATGCTGACATGCCTTGTGCTAACAAAAGGCTTCATCACTCTCGGAAGTTTTTTTTTTTTTTCAATCTCTTTTTGTATCTCTCATACAGTTACGCATTCCCTTCAGCTGTGTCTGTTCGAAGAAGCTGCTCTTGAAACACCCACAGAGTTGTGTATTTGTAAACTGAAGCGGAAGTGGTAGTAGGGCCAGGTGGGGGGGGGGGGAATTTGGTAGGGTGAGGGGGAACAGATTGCCTGACTCACTTTCCAACCCCAGAACCTGTGTGTGTGTGTGTGTGTGTGTGTGTGTGTGTGTGTGTGTGTGTGTGTGTGTGTGTGTGTGTGTGTGTGTGTGTGTGTGTGTGTGGGTTAGGTGAACCCAAATACATTTCTCCTCAGGCATGTACAGTACAGTTTGGTTCTATTCGGTAATACACTTTCTGTAGACTACTTTCAGTGCTATAAAAATATTATCGGTCAAGTCATGGGTGGCCTCGGCTTGGACTTGTTGTACAGTCTCATTTCATTAATGCTTCTCAATGCATGTGTGAGTGATTGTATTCCAGCGCTGGCTGACCTGTGAGGTGTGAGAGCCTGTGTAGGACCAAAGGAGGG